CAGTCCCTCGATGACCGGTTTACCCGCTGCATACAACGCCTGGCTTAAGATGTAAAATAAAGGAAAAAAGCACTATTAATATCTTCGTACTGTTCCGCTCTTCGACGAATTATAAATTGTAGAAACAATGATTTCCCAGCAGCAACTTCTCAGGAAGCACTACTGCTTGAAAGCGCTGAGGAGAAGGCGACGAGGCACTAACTGCCTGGAGAACATCGTTCGGCGAAAAAATTAAGGCAAGACGCTCTCTCAAACTATGGCATTCAAGATACCCAGTGTCAACAGCTGGGTAAGCAAACTTCAGCGCGATGTTTTATTCACTTCACGGTAGCATCTCGCATCAGCGCTGTTTAACAAGCAGTGAATGCAACTTACAGAGAAAACAACTGCATTTTCATCATATATTACGTTTTGTGTGGTTGGTAATGCAAGCTACCTCGGTGTGGTCTGGTGAAGTCCAACACAGACTAAAAACATTTCAAAACGGTTGAAGCCTTGCTAAGTGCTTCTCGCAGCAGAACCGCTGAGCTGACGACCCCTTCAGGGAACGAAACAAACACCAGGTACCCAATGTACTAACTCCCAGGGGATGTAACTCTGGTCAAAACAATTAGAAAATTTGCCAATCGTATAATTGGAGAGCTAATTTAACATCCATACCGCGTCTTCCACATGTATAACGTTCAGCAAGAACAGTTCTAGCAATTTTGGTTGACTTTTTGCAAAAGGAGGAAGGTGATAGTAGCAAAGCAACGAAGATGGTGGTTAAACCCCTTTCGCCTTGCCCAGTTGCCTTTCGTTTCCCTGTAATATGCAAATGTTCTGTCTCTTGACTTGAGTTCCCCCTTCGTGATATTTAATGTGGTGATTAGAAATGAACTTGAAATTGTTTTTGTGTCACAAAAAATTGTGCGACGGCAGCTTGAAACTGCTGCCGCTTCCATCGTTGCTCTTGTCCGGTGGCAGCTCAGAGCTAATTTCGTGATTTGTTTCTTTTTTATGCGTTTTTTGCAGCTATGCAATGCAGAAAACGCATATTGGCGAGGGGTTTTCTGTGTGCCCGTGTGTCTGTGTGTCCGCGTGTTTGTGTGTGCGTCCGCACCGATTTTTCATCTTAAGACCTACAAAAGCTTCGGGGCTCAAACTTTGGGAACTTAATCTACATAGACGTACGGGCCCCAACCCCAAAAACGGGCGCTCCAATCCGTGTGGTACCCGATACGGGTTCCTGAAAGTTTTTTGCGGGTAAGTCGCTAACTCAAGAATCAGAAAAGCTAGAAAGCTGAAATTTTAAGGGGATGTTCCCCGTCCACACAAATCCACACAATTTTCAATGAGCTCAAACTCAGCCCTCGATTATGCGTGGTACCCACGCACGGGGCGCCAAAATTTTTTCCGGAAAGTTGCTAACTCGAAAATTTGAAAATCTAGAAGACTGTAATTTTAATAGGATATTCCCCGTCCACTTTTGTCTCATTGAGCTCAAACCCAGACTGCGGATATGCGTGGTACCCACGTACGGGCCCGCCAAAATTTTTTCGAGTAGGTCACTAACTCGGGAAACTAAAAAGTTAGAAGGCTGTAACTTTAAGGAAACGTTTCTTGCCCACGTAAGTTCCATGAGTTCAGACCCAGACACCGGGTATACATGGTACCTTTGTACGGGCCCGCCAAAATTTTCTTCGGGTAAGTTGCTGATTCGGGAACCTGAGAAGCTAGAGGATTGGAACTTTAAGGTGATGTTCCCCATCCAAGGCGGGTATTAACGAGATCAAACCCATCCCCCGGGTATACATGGTACTCGCGTACGGGCCCGTGAAATTTTTTTTGGGGTCAGTTGATAACTCGGGAACCTGAGAAGCTAGAAGACTCGAATTTTGAAGAGATGTTTCCTGACAGTC